CTCATCGCAGGGACTCTTAAGCCCATGCGCTATCTTCACTGGTCAAGATCACTACCCGGGGCCAGACCTTCCAATGCAATCACACGGCAACATACGCAATCCATAACCTCGATCCGATCCAACAGTACTCGCAGAGTCTTCAGCATGACTGGACCGCCTCACCAGGCCTTCAGCCAATCTGGACCACTCTCAGAACCTTCAGCCAATCTAGACCGCTCTCAGTGCCTTTAGTCTGGCTAGACCGTCCTCCAAGCCTTCGGCCTGACTGGTACGCCTACCGGCCTTCAGTCTATCCGGACCGCTCAACTAGAATTCATCATTCCGAGCTATCTCTTCGGGGATTCCTCCCGTGCATACCGTTCTAGCCCTCTAGGGGTTCCGAACTCTAACTCCATCATACATACTCGATCCCGGCCTGCTCCCAGGCCTTCCACAATCAAATGCCCTAGGTCTGTATTCCGCCCCGCACGCCTGCTACTCACCCATACGAGCCTGCTCTCGGCTGATCAAAATACCGCTGAATTCCCAAAGCAGCTAACCAACCTCTCAGCCTAACGACCATCCGGAGAATTTCCAATTCTCCCCCACTTAAGACACTGACAATTAACCGCCGGTCGCCATCACCGATCTCCCAAAGCAACAATGCAGAGAAAAAAAACAACACTTACACGCAATTAGTTCCTCACCAGCGCTAACAACTTTCATAAAAACATATTTCCCCACTGAACAACCTGCTCGAAAGGAACCCAATCTTTAACTATCCATTCCTCAGACTGCAGAAGCTACCCGACCTTCAAACCAATGCCGCATCCGCCACTAATCCTCACAAAGATAATCAACGATAGCTCTAAGCACTGATCCATAACCATATCAATCCTTTACGGAACAAAGGATGCCAAAACAAAATCCCGAACACCACTCACCAAACCCCTAAGGAACAACAGATACCACACGAAAACCCGAAACACGATTCCATAACCATCCAACGAGACTAGCAGATAAACGATACTCCACAATAATCATAAATAATTAAGACAATAGGAAAGAAACATACCCGCAGCAGCAAGCTGAAAAGCACGACCCTAAGCCCTTGGGGCTGACCTCCACCTGTGATCCTCAACGTGGTCGGTGCTGGAGCCTGCACCGGTCCTGCAACAAGCTGTGGACAGTTGACCCTCAAGTGTCCAACCTGATGACAATGATGACAGATCCTCAAATCCCGAACCGGCACTGATTGCCGACAATCCCTCGCATAATGCCCATCCTTTCCGCACTTGCGGGATGCACCACCGGACCGACAGACTCCGGCGTGACCCCTTCCACACTTTCCACAGACGTGGCTACTCTGCTCTCCCATCCTGAAATCAACGGTCTTAGACCGCTTCGTCGCTGGCTGCGACTGAACCGGAGCTTGCCTCAGCTCACGAACCTGCAACTCAATCTCTAACTCATGCCGCCTGGCGGCCTCCTGCAACTCTAACAAGGTCTCGCACCTCTGCGCAGACACAAACTGCCTGATGTCTCTCTTTAACATACTCAGATATCGGGACATCTGAGCCTGCTACGAAGCGAACTCAGGGAAAAACATCGCCCTCTCGGTGAACATCCTGGTGATTTCCGTCACCGACTCCGAATCCTGTTTCAGCTCCAAGAACTCCTGAGCCAACCTCTCCCTCTCGACCTGCGGAACATAACGAGTGTTGAACATCTCTTTGAACTGATCCCATGAAATCGTAGCTCTCTGCGCATCCGAGTACGACCCCGTGGTCAATCTCCACTAATCCTTTGCCCCGAGCCTTAACAGGTTCAGAGTGCACCTCACCCTTTGATTAGCAGGGCATGAACACGTGAAGAAACATCCCTCCACATCTGATAACCATCTCATAGCAACGATCAGATCCTGAACTCCATCAAAGGTGGGGAGGCTTCGTATTATCGAAGTCCCGATACTGAAAACCTCTACTAGCTCCTCCCCCTGCCGCTGCTACAGCTGCTCTAGCCGCCGCGGCAGCCGTCTCCGTGAGAGCCGCATAGCGCTCATCAAAATACTCCACCATGGCGGTCTTGATCGACCCAAACAACTCCGACAGCTCAGCCCGAAACAATGCAGCAACCTCATCATGCAGGATCTCACGAATCCCCGCATCTAACTCGTGCGTACTCATCTGACTGACAACCTCAGGCTATATACACCTACCCAGAACTCCCTCTCCTGCTCCTGATCCTGACCCGGATCCACTCCCAGCGTGTCCTGAAGTCTCCATACTGAAAATAAACCACGAGAAATCTCAGACACCTCCCACTATCCCGGGAACCAACTCTCAACCCAACCCTAGAGGTCATGGTTTCCCTAATACGTGTATGGGTCCTGTGCTTTCAGTAGTACGGGCCCATACTACCTTCCACACCTACCCATATTTGTATGAAGTACTTCCACAACACCCTAGCGAAAACATACATAACAACGCTCTATCTTCACAATTAGAGGAACACTAGAAATCTCTCACAAGAAAACCCTAGGCTAGCAGGCATCATAAATCAGGCAACACATCAAGAAATCCTGAAGATCGCTAGCCTAACTCTAGCATGCTGTTCTATCAAAGCACAATAAAACAAATATCATGTATGGTATTTTGGGGTTACTTACTGGCTCCGGCTGATCGTACCTCCGCGTCCTCCTTTACTTATTTTGAAAACCATTTTAAATTCTCTTTTGAAAACCCTCCTCGATTTGAGACTGGAGTCACACAAGTGTTCCTCCAATTCACTCAAACCAAGGCTCTGATACCAACTTGTAACAACCGAAAAATCCAGCCAATTTAAATTTTTCAAAAAAAAACAATCCACTTTAATAACACTATTACAAAAGGTTTTCAATACATTATTCATTAGAGTATTCCCAGGTTCATTTTATAAACATAAACGCGAGGAACAGTACGATCACGCCTTTTCCTTGCCACTGCTCCCTGAAGAACCTGAAAAACATTAAACCACAACTGTAAGCCCGAAAGCTTAGTGAGATACCCCCAAAATACCAACCTCATATACCATACACATATCGCACTATCTCATAACGAATCACAGAACAGTCATGCATAACGGGTCTACTGTGGGACTGGTCCGCCATGACGGGCCTTCAGTCCACCTGGTCCACCCTCCGAGTCCAATCAAGTACCTCGAGTCTACAGTGTGGTTGGTCCGCCCGCACTCGGCCTTCAACTCACCTGGTCCACTCTCTGAGTCTACAGTATGACTGGTCCGCCCGCATCGGGCCTTCAGTCGGCCTAGTCCACTCTCCGAGCCTCGGTACGTCTGGTCCGCCCGCATGGGGCCTACAGCATATCCAGACCGCTCGCTGGGCCTTCGGAACAACCGGTCCGCCCTGAGTATCTTGGCCTACAGCACAAAGCAGGACCACCTCAACCCATCTCCAGTCCAAACAACCATGTACACATAAACATATAATCATATAACAATTCACATTCAAACAAGCCAATCTAGCAGATCACATAGCATAACATACTCTAAGCAGGATACCGACCTAACAGGTCAGTAGCATAGCATCTCCCTATCTCTCAGGATATCGATCTCAATCAGGTCTCTAACATATACCGTCCTAACTCTCAGGATGCAAGCATATCACAACAACAAAATAACAACAACTACCCGGATCTCAGTCCGATAAGGGCCGACCTTGGTGCCTTAGACCCTATTGATATAGTGAGGATAACTCACATCGAAACTGCCGGCTGAAAGGATAAGATCCCGCTGCTCCAACTCTGACACGAACTCCTCCACTGAACACCAAAACATTCAATTCAATAAATACCCTTAATTACCAAAATACCCCTGGAAGACAACTGGTCAACCTTGGACAAAGTCAAAGTCAACCCCCGACTCACCCTACTCGCCGAGTCCCTATGCTCAGAACTTCCCTCAATCAGCGACCCAACTCGCCGAGTCACCCCAAGACTCGCCGAGTCCAACAACTCTGAGTCCACTCGCACCCAACTCACCGAGTCATCCCTTGACTCACCGATTCTCGACTCAACTAGAAAATATTGGGTCTCTTCGACAAGACTCGCCGAGTCCAAGAACAGACTCGCCGAGTCTGAGGCTATCTTCAACCTACTCGTCAAGGTTTTCTTCCAACTCGCCGAGTTCCAGGCCATCTTCAAGCAACTCGTCGAGTCCACCCATGTGACTCGCCGAGTATCACCGGTCTGAATCAATTCAGAAGCACTCCAGGCCATGCAATTGATCCAAAACATAGATCCAACCTCCTACAATCCATCCATCACGTAAAGTGGCAAACTTTACGTGAATCTAAAGAGATCTAGGCCTTATTCACCTTAGAACTAAGGTTTGGGACATGATAGCTCCATTAACAACACAAGAACAGGGGCTTTAATGCTCTTAAGATCTTCTCCACTCCAGATCTGAGGTAGCAACCTCAGATCTATCCTTCAAACTCAAGATGTCACACAACTAAGCTTCCCACACAACCCCAAAATGAGAATCTAAGAGAACACAGCCCAAGAACGAAATATTACCTCCAAAGAATGCCCCAACAGCAATGAAACTCGAATCCAAGCAAAGCCCTTTGATCCAAGCCTCTTCTCCTTCAAGATTTCTTCAACAAACACCTCTCCAAGCTCCAATTTGCTCAACAATGGGGTTCCTCCACGAAATTAGGGTTTCTGGGACTCAAGGGGGATCAAGGAGGCTGTGGAGGAAACATAATGATCTTTATATAGGGCTCATTCCCCGGATTTAGGGTTTTCTTCACCCAGCACCTACTCGCCGAGTCCATCTTTGGACTCGCCGAGTAGGTCGCTTGACATACGACCAAAGTCGCGACTCTACTCGCCGAGTCCATCCATGGATTCGCCGAGTCGCCCTTCAAGATTTACACTTTTAGCCCCTTCAACTCTACTCTTGCTATTCCGGGATGTTACATTTTTAAGGCAGGATTTCACCCGCCTATTGAATCCCAAAAATTAAACCCCCCGCCTATTCCAATTAGCAAGAAAAAGCCCTAGGTCTTCGTCTTCATGGCCACCGCTTAAGAGAACGGTACCTTTGATATATCTATTGAAGCTGTGGTTGTCGATGATGACGTCAAGTTCAGATTCCAAAGGCAGGAGGTGTACACCGAGAATCCCTCCGGAACCTGTCGATGATATCTCTACTGAAGCATGGTGTTAGCAATCTTTTACATCAACCGATATTCTGAGTCCATGTTTATATTTTTGATGCTCTTTTCACTAAATTTCTATTGAAAATGTTTCATAAAACCTATTCTTGTGTATCTTTTAGATATGGAAGATCTGAAGCAGTTCAACATGAAAATCGCTGCTTCACATTTCAGTCATTCATATAAATCCCCGATTATTCAAATTGATTTCGAACCCTACCTACATCAGCATCCTAGAAAAACTCTAGCACATCATCCCTAAAACGCCCAATAAAAAAAACCCAAAATTAAATCCCTAAATGATTCAGATGATGATGATGAGAACTTGGATGAAGTCGCACCTTCTTCACCTTTTGGTTCGATTTCATTGGATTGTTGATTCAAAGTTATAGGTAATTTTTCTTGATATTTTTATCCTTAGACCTCTTCAACTATCTTCAATCGATCGCTTCAATGTCTTCAATCGATCGTTTTTCCTTCCATCACCATCGGCCGTCTTCTTCTTTATTCGATTCCTAGGATTGATTCATGAAATCAATTTTATAAAATATATTTACAAAATTGAGATAAAGCACCACTACTAGAAAAACAGCCTTTTACGACGCTCATTGCGCGTCATAAAAGGCTCAGACGACGTGCAAATGCGCGTCAAGGAAGGCCCTGTCATAAAGAGAGACGACGCGCATTTGCGCGTCCTCTATAGACGATGCGCATTTACGACGCTCATTTACGACGCGCAATTACGACGCGCGTTTACGACATGCAATGCGTATCAAGGAAGGCCCTGTCATAAAGAAAGACGACACGCATTCGCGCGTTGTAACCTTACGACGCGTGTGTTAATGACACGCAATGCGTATCAAGGAAGCCCCTATCAAGAAAGGCCATGTCATAAATGAAGATGACACACATTTTTGCGTATCGTAATTTTAAATGTTAAAAAAAATATTATTTGTAGATTTACTAATTTTCAAATTAAATTTTCATTTAATGTCTCATAACAAAAAATAAAATACTATATACAAAAAATACAATCCATTGCATAAAATTTAATATCATACAAATAATCGATCCTTAGAAAGATAAAACAAATCAATAGAAGTTGTTTTCTCCCTATACATGATTATTACATACTAAATAACAAACTTTATTTCATATTCATACATATGATTACATTATTCATTAAGAAAAACATATACCTACAACTAGACTTGGAAGATCCATGTCAGTGTCTTTTGAATCAGAAGGATAACGATTTTGGAAATCGTAGAAGGATTGTGAAGGAAGTGGTGACAGAATTCCTCTAGGGTTTACAGAAATCTGCAAGGAGGACTATGGAGGAAAGAAGGAATAAAAAGAAACATGAAAACATAAAGATCGTCAACTAGATAATAGAAGTCAAACCTTTGACCACTTCTTTAATGATACCATATAATAGATCCAAGTTCCATAAAGTTTCAAAACTGCATGAAAACATTATATAGGAGATTAACACATAACACTTAACAGTGTATCCTGTTAATTAAAATATGACATGTAAAATGTGGTTTACATGCAGTTGAGAATAAATAGGTCGTTTTCTAGTGACTTGAGAATATGCCAGTGGTAAAAAAAGTATTTGAGGATTAACTTCCTCAGAAAAGTGTAGTGTAGGGCTACATTGATAATCTCATGACATTGTATAGCATTATACTTACAAATTTTTACTAACCAGGACATTATATATATATATATATATATATATATATATATATATATATATATGTTGCTGTATAACCAACCTTATTCATTGCTGCCATTGCCTTGGTAGCACCTTTCATCCCAACAGCCACAAAAGAGTGTGCAGCTAATGCCTGGGAGAAGTTAAAACCATAGAAAGTCAATCATGTGGTATACTTTATTTATGACAAAAAAAGAAACAAGTTGCCATTTGAAAATTTACCTGTGTATGTGTTGTTATGCCCCTCATTTGAGCCCGACTACTTTGTAGGTTGGCTATTTGTTGTCTAAGCCTCACCAATTGGCGTGCCAAAATCTTTGTTGATGCCTGCATAAACCAAATGTTAATGCACAAAAATTTCATCTTCTTATAATCAACAAAATTTCATCTTAATATTCTTATGCGTTGGTGTTAGTTCATATGGGCTCAAAAACAACCTGATTGGTATCGATTCACATGCAACATATATAACTTCATTAATCAACAAATATATAACAACCCATTGTTTCACAAGCAGATAGCCTCCAAACCTGCACGTGAAAAATTACCAAAATGCCCCGGAGAGATTTATAGTAAACAAAATTATAAAACTTACCAATGCTTTATCTGACATCATTTTTCGCATCGATATGAGGATGATGTAATCTCCGAACCAATTACATTGCTCTTCGCAGGCAACTTATTACCAACTTCTTTGTAAAGCCAATGGGCAGCAAATCCATGCTCAACATATTCATGCATGCTCTATTAAAAAAAATTTGTTATATATATATATATATATATATATATATATATATATATATATATATATACTGTATACATGCGTTCTTATTAAGACTTCCAAGGGTGAGTTTTCTGGACCATGCACTGCAGTATGCAGAGACCGTATAAAATGAGAGTCAGAATTTGTGGGCATTGACAAAAAGAAGAGATAAGAAGGAAACGGCATGCATTACTCACACAAATATGAAATAGGTATACCTAATATCAGCAGCATACAAAAAAGTATAGTGAGATAGATCTTTACCTGATATCCACCTGACTTTGGATTGACAATGTAATCGTCAAACTCGCCATCAATTGGTGTCTAAAGCCTGTGGAAGATGAACCAAACAACTTTTATTTATATTACACATCTGTCACTTACTTATAAATTGAGTAAGAATTTTTTATTCTTCTTGTCTGGGCAATATAAGTTTTAGCATGTAGTTATCCATTTTATGCTACTTATATAAAGTATAAACTTGTGTATGATATTTAGAAGACTGTAGCAACACTCGACAGTTTGTCCATGTAAAGTTCCACTTCTATCTCCAACAATTACTCTCAGTGCACGTGCATCATATACTTTATCAATGCTCACATCTTTATGATTCATCTGAGAGAAATATTAGCATAATCATCTACATAACTGAATCATGTATTCTTTCTAAGATTATTTATGGAGATCACTTATACCTACCTTACTATAGATGTTGTACAAACTTTTAAGGCGGCTAGATAAGGTTACCTCCATTCCAGGAACATAGCTGCACAGGTAAGAATGACAAGCACACCAGAGTCAAGGCAGGGTAAACAAGACTGAAGGTTGAAAATCTATCTCACATGATCTTACGAGGTTGATATAAACAACTCACGTTCTAGTTCTTCCTCACAAACGACCAGAGATGCTAGGGCAATCCCAGCATCCTTCACGACTTTTGGTTTTGTTTGGACCTCTGAGCATGACCCGAGATCTTGAATATATTTAATACGTTTTCTTCGATCAAGCAGGAGATCAAATGGAATAACAGCCTGCAAAAGATCATGTGGGTTGAAAAAAGGAGTCACCAATTCATATCCTAATTAAACATATATAATGGAAAGTCAAACACCCAGTAGTATATATATATAAGGGGAAGAAATGAGGGGGAATTACCTTCATGCTGACTACGACATCTTCTGTTGATGCTTCATACTCAGGATTTGAGCTACTTTTGGCTGATAGTCTTCTTAGGTTGCCTACCCTGCTACTGCTGCTGCTGGGTGTCCACAAGGAGGCCAGGTCAGATCGCATTTGCTGGAAGATCTGAGGCTACACACACTACAAGTATTAGTTGGAATCTTATTTTAGCACATGCAACATATGATTCGATCATTAGTTGCGTAGAATGAACACTTGAGATAAATATCATGCATTAGAACACATTCATGATTCATCACTAAATTAGCTTTATAGTGTAGAAACCACTGACCTGAAGAACAGCAAAACAGAGGTCTTCAAGTTCAGCTTTTAAAGCCCAATGGCCCAATCTGGAAGCAAGAGAGCACCAAATGATCAAAGTATCATGTGCTACAGCTTTAGCCTTGCCCGAAGGTAGAGCATAACTAAAAGCAAGAGAGTGTAAACTGTAAGTTAAAGCATTGCAGTGAGTGAATAACTTATTGAATAGAGTGTTAAACCTCCCTTGACAAAAAAAAAGAATGAATTTTCTCTACTTTCCAAGACCTTTACCAACCAATGAACAAGAGAAGTATCAGTGAAATTAAAATCACTCGAGTTTGAAATGGAATTATCAGAAATATTTTTCTTGTCAGGATCATGCAATGCAAAGATTCATGGTAGATATGGAAACAAGTCATACATGGTTCTCATGTTATGTAGACGGTCTGCAAGCTTGATTAGCACCACACGTGGATCATCAACCTGTGCAATTTGATTAACTTCATTGATTGAACCTTTGGATTTAAGTACAGATTTATGGATGTTGCAAATACAAAGAGTCCAAAATCAACAAAATGTAGTCAATATATTATACTTACAAAAACACTTCGTTGTTTCTGCATATATGTTTGCTAATTTGCTATTATTTCAAAGTGGGATACAGATGAAGCATCTTTTGAACTGCTCCTGCTGGGAAATGTATATGGATGTCTTGCCCTTCAAGCAGATTCCCTTCTCCTTCTCCACAACCCAGATTAAGCTTTCCTTCCCTTGCTCTTACCTAATAATAAAATTAAGTAAATAAACTAACACACACTTATATAGATAGCAATTGAAGACGAGATACCCAAGTCAATGCAAAAGAAACAGTGAAACAGATTGCCTAAAAACAACAAAAACCACATTGCTTACCAATTTTAAAAAATAATGTGTATAGAAATAGAAAACAGGAGATATTGAAGGAGCTCGTGCTGCATTTCAGCTTTATGATACTTCTGAATCTGATTCATCTTTCATTGAAACCCCAATAAAAGAGGCTAATATGTTACAGCCTCAGTTATCGGACTTGATAGATAAATTTCAACTTGCTGAAATTTGTTTAGAGCTTAAATACTTCACAATGGAGGACGAGAAAAAAAAATGGATTATAATATTCACGTATATATAATTAGAAGATATATAGAAAATTCGAATAAGCATCAATCGAACATGTAGTTGCTGTCGGGACAATAGGAGAAGAGGGAGAAGATGAAATTGAGATCACTTAGTCTTTTACGAAGAAGGACTAGCGCTTCCTCTGCTATTCCCCGACCCATTGGGCTCATCCATACACTTTCCTCTCCGAGTCTCCAGTAGACTTCAACTATGAATCCGGTGTGAGAATACGAGGTTCTTGATTCCTAAGGTTATAAGAACTCGTAGAACCAAAATCCCCTATTTCCCAAAAATACATCTTCTCACATACCAAGGCGCTTTCCCTTGATCATTTCTGAGCGTCAAAAACAGGGCGAGCATGTATTTGGGCTTTCTGCAAAAGATTGAAACAAAGGAATTTGAGGTCAGGTGAGCATGAGATCGTCAATGAGGAGAAGTGAGCAAGGGGTTGCCGGAAGGTGAGGCCAGGTCGCCGGATCGATGCTATAGAGCACTGAGTGAGCGAGTGTTTTGAGTCTTAAAAAAGCCCTAGAATTAATATCAATATCGGTTCGTGTGATTTTGTTATTCGACCCTTTTATGTTCGCCATCTCCTTCTTCCTTCTGCTCTGTTAGATGAAGAAAGAGAAGATGGTTTGAGGTGTAATGGCATGATCTGGTGCTTCTGGATATATTGATGGTGGTTGTTGTTATGGTAGAGATATCAACAATATCGTTCTCTGAAGCGGCGACCATGAAGACGAAGGCCCTAGGGCTTTTTCTTGCTAGTTGGAAGAGGCGGGGGGTTTAATTTTTGGGATTCAATAGGTGGGTGAAATCCCGCCTTAAAAACGTGTGTTTCATTAAAATTATAAAGCAACACATTTAGAGGACGCACATTTTATGAAAGGCGCCCTCCGCATTTCTTTTTTTTTTCTTTTCTAACACTAATTTTAGGGCACGCACAAATGCGTGTCTACTATCCTTCAAATTTTACAAAATTGACATTATTTTTTAGGGCACACACAAATGCGCGTCCTCTATCAGCCAGTGTCATTGTTTGCGCGTCATTAAAGGGCTATTTTCTAGTAGTGCACAACGCTTTTGATATCATTTCTTTGGGAAAATGCAGGTAACGAAGAAGAAATTGATATAAAGCACAAACATCAAATGGTGCCCCCCCACCCATCTTCCCCACATAAAGAAGAAGTACATGAGAAGCGAATCATATGCAGGTAATGAAAAATGGTCTCATAGACTTGATAAAACTTATCTTAATCAACTATTTTTGCTTTCCCTCCTATGTTTATGATACTTAAAACTTTAAGTGATATAATGATGGTATTAAAACTCATAAAGATGCATTTCGCTTGAAACAAAGCTTTTCCTACAAAATCTTATTCTAAATTTAGTCCAGTAGAAGTGTAGAACTACAAGGAAAGTAACTGATGCGCTTGTTGGAACTGTGCTTCGGTTAGACTGGGTTGCAAAGAAGGATGTGATTTTCAGGAAAATAAAGATATCTTTCCCAAAACTGGTGGATGATATTAAGTTATGTTTGTTTCCTGCATAAAACATAGGGCAAAAAGGCACAAATTAGATTAGTTACTTTGGGATCAATCACCTTCAGTGCTTGTAATGTGTAAGTTGATTACTTTTTTTTCCTCCCTGTGGGCTTTGATAGGGATTTTTCAATCTATCTTTAAATCTCCTGGTGTGTGTGTGGGTGGGTGGGTGGGTGGGTGTGGGCCAGGAGGGGGAAGGGGTCAGATGAAGTGTATCTTGGGGTGTGTGTGTGTGTGTTTGGTGCGTGTAACTAACACAATTGGAAAGGGTTTAGAGTCTGTTGGTGTGAGTTCTCTTTGTGATACTCAAGTGCTAATTGGGCCTGTGATAGTGTGCATTTTTATCTTTTCTCTGGGTATGTATTCACATGTTTTTTTCGGTTCCTGTTCAAGTTCCTGATATACATCGATCCAACATCACAAAGTTCCAGGGATATCCTTGGTATTGACACTCGAGGCTGAAAAGTTCAACGTCATGTCAGTGATAAAAATAAACTTATTTCCAGTTTGGTCCATTATACCCTTGGGATTGTTACTTACCTGTTATGGTTTTTCTATTTATGGATATCCTCTCCAGGTGCTAGCTTCAAAGATTTTGTGTTTATTTTGCTGTTCATACATGGCACACTGCTGTCTCTTGCCATTTTATGAAATTTTTGCCTTCGGAGCTGTTTTGAAGGTTGTTTAGGCCTAGTTTGTTATTGATTTTGCATTTGGAGCTTTGCTGGAGTGATATTTCACCTCTAATATTATCTGGTGGTGTTCCTGATGGCATCGCATCTGGGGCTTATCTCCTGCAGGGAGTTTGTAATTGTGTAGTTTTCCTTGGATTTATATGGTGTTGTATTAGTTGTTTTTCTCTAATTTTTCTTTTTTACCTTTTTGTAATTTGCAGCTTCCCGGTGGCCTTGGTTTTTTTATTTTAATATAGTTTCGTTCATAAAAAAAATGTGTTTCATTTTTGGAGTTAGTTTCTGCTAAAGGTACTTAAAGGATATGGAATTGGGTGTGTTGAGTGACATGGCTGATATTCATAAAAAACTTGCTGGAAGTTACCAAAGAAACAGGTAATCATCTTAATGTGTTTTTTGTATGAGCATTTTTCTTGCAAATTAATGTGTTTTTTGTTTATTAGTTACAAAATTATGAAAAAAATAACGTGTTTGATGGAATAGCAATGAAGCTTAGGACTAAATTCAAGAATTACATGTTTATCTCTATCAGACGACTATGAAAGAAAATTGAAAACAAGTGTATATATATATATATATATATATATATATATATATATATATATATATATATATATATATATATATATATATATATATATATATATATGATAAAATAGGTTAATTAGGAAAAGAATTAATAAAGGTTTTGTATGTTAATAAAATGTTCATTTTTCATTTTGTATAACTAACAAAATAGATTACTTAGTCAAAAAATAATGAAGCATTAAAATTTTCATATGATGAAGGGGTAAATGAAAATAAGTAAATAACTGCAATAAGTTGTCAATATGCCCTAAACTGTAATATCTTTTTAATAAAAAATGTGATTAAAGATTTTCTAAGTGGTAAAAAAAACTTTTGGTTTTATCATTGTTTATACGGAAAGTGTGTTTTTTGTTGTTTTACACATGTACTAGAGTGATTGGTGTTTGTAGAAAAGTAGACCAAACACCTGCGAATTAGTTATGGTTAATACATTAGCTCATCGAATTCGTAGCTGCATCAAGACCAGACTCCTAAATCTTTTGACAGGGTAATATATTTTTTAGAGTAAATTACAAAAATGATCCCTATGTTATCTAGTTTTTACCGTGTTTAGTCTAAAGTTGAAATCTTTTTTCTATTTATAAGGTGCATTGCCTGACGAGCTGACATTCCTTTTTCGTTTTTCTGGGCTTGCATCGATGCCTGATGTTATCCCTATGATTTTGATTTCAGATTGAGATTTAGAATTCTCAATCTTCGGTTTCTCTTTCAGAAGCTTTGTTATCTTGTGATGGTAGTTGGGCAGAAGTATTACATGGCTTCATCTATGGAGTATGCGTACAACTTTTCAAAAGCTTTGAGTTATTCCTGATCGATATTATTATGCGTTTAACTACAATTCCTCATTTTAATTCGTGTTTTATGATTTCATTTGGTTTAAGTTTTAGAGTGATTTCGACTTTAGATCTGACTTATAGTGAAAATTCTACCTCATTTGATTCATTTTTTTTATCACAAACACAGATTTTTGTGTGGAACTATCTGGTAGTTTCCATAAGTTTATGTGGAGTGTAGTAGTCGTTGCCACCTTTGTGCTATTCATCAGGTGTTAAATGGCTTCTACCAGCCTTGGGCATGGCGGAGTTGGCAGTTCCAGGCTTGAATTATTCATCAAGTTCAGTTGACTGGCTGGGGAGAGAGATGCTTGAGATGCGACTCAGGACAAGGTAGAACATGATGATGAAAGAGTGAGTGTAAGTTCCTTTTCCCTTATCATAACTTTTTTTATATATCTTTCATAAGATTCTTATATATCATCAGTTGTTACGTCAACCAAGAAATAGCAATGTACTTTCCATAAAAAAAATTATAAATTATATTCTTTGAAAAATTTGCTAGATTGGTAGGTTTAAAAGTAGAATGTCCTAATAAGAATCAATTTGAAAAGTAGAATGAAAATGACAAGTGATTTTGTGTTGTGTTTACAAGGTTGATGAAAGCGAATAGCTCTGGAGTAAGAAGAGGAAAAGAAAGCTCAAGTTGAAAGAGATAAGATGCTGCAAATGCAAGTGTTGCATTCTTCATTTTAATTGTTAGTTGTAGTTGGATGAATGCAAATTTATATATTGTAAGAAATAGAATTGTATGACATTATATTTTATGCAATGGATTGTATTTTTTGTATATTGTATTTTATTTCCATTATGATACATGAAATGCAAATTTAATTTAAAACCTAATAAATATATAAATATATTTTTTTAAACATTTAAATTTACAATACGCAAAAGTGAGTGTCATCTTCATTTATGACAAGGCCTTTCTTGATAGGGGTTTTAATGATACGCATTGCATGTCGTAAATGCACGTCGTCTATAGACGACACGCAAAAGCGTGTCATCTCTCGTTATGACATAACACGGCCTTCCTTGACGCACATTTGCGCGTCGTCTGAGCGTTTTACGACACGCATTGCGCGTCGTAAAATGTTGTTTTTCTAATAGTGAACTATGCTCTAGTTAACAAATTATGTTATTGTAGACATGCCAAATAACCAATCATTATTGCCATTAATATAAACGTGTTTGCATGTAACAAAAAACAACTTGATTTGATCACGGCCCCAAAAATTGGACCCTAAAATTGTTGGCGGGATATTGAATTTTCATGGCAGGATATCCACAATTTTACCTCAAGATCACGGCCCAAAGCCATAGAACACGGTTTCATTTGGAAAATTGGGTCTTATAACTTTATAGCTAAAAGAGTTGGTTGTATCATTAGAAACTGGGTTGTCTAGTTCACTCGTATATCCTAGTTCCTCATCTTAAACCGGGTCATATAACTCTCCCCTTTATATATCCCATTTCTTCCATAATATGTCCCTTTTTTTCATAAACTGGGTCTTATATGGTGAGTCCTATGTCATGTTTTGTAGTAGTGACATGTCATGTATAGGGTTCGCAACCAGAAGTGGATACCTTGCACCAAACTTCTACTTCTTGGATATGTACCAAAACACACCAAAATGTATACCATGAGCTCAAAATACCATCATGAAGGCTAAAGGATGATCTCTAGGGTTTTGAGGACTTGGAGGCTGGTAAAGAGGCCAGCCCTAAAGACTTAATGAACTTATATAGGGTACAACATAAAAATTAATGTATTCAATAAGATGCACGTACGCCCCGTATATGATCCCGAAGGCGCAATCCTTCCTCGCGTCAAAAAGCCCCGCGTACACCATTGTACCCTCCGTCGTTGGCTTTAGAACTAGTACGCCATGCGTACACATATGTATGCTCCGCGTACTGATTAACCTTAAACCCAATATACCCCGAAGGCCATCACTTCCTCATTATCCTTCGATTCTGACGATCCTTATATCCATGAAAAGGTAACAAGAAGCTTTATGCTTAATCAACTCATACCTTTGTTTACAATATCCCAAACATACATCCAATTCCCATAAAAGCTCGAGCTGACATATTACTCCAAAACACAAACCAAAAACCCGGATCATTCAAATTACATCATCCAGCCCTAAAAGAGTACAAATCTCAATTCTTCAAGGGTCCTAAGCTTGCTAATACCCGATCGTTGATCACCAACCCGAAATGGAAACGATTCAAAACAAGGTGTTACAACCCTGTTATCCTTTGACGCTACTCCGGGTGAGATACATCAGCAAGTCCCCTAGGCTAGTGGACGTCAACGCTTGCTCAGGCTAGCGAGATCATTCTAGCTTTAGGCCTAGACACATGTTCATCGATTGTGGTTTATGATGCTTGTTGATGTGATGAAATCGTCTGAGTCGGCGATTCCATCATTGCAACTGTTCGGGTTTCCCACCTACGTTTAAAAGCTTCCTTATTCGATCTGCTTTCCTTTTATCATTTGCTTCTTCTCTTCTTCGATATTGCTTCTTTCTTTCTCTTCCTTCCTAGTTTCTTCTCCTTTGTTACAGGACTATGACATCTCCGAACACAGGTGTCGCTCCGTCTTCCAAAAAGATTTCCAAAGCGATTCGGTTTCCTACCCGATCGTGGGTTCGAGTCCCACAGATGGCGCCAATTTTAGTGATATGTCTCCGACTTAACTCCATCTGCTTGAGTGGTGAGAAATACAAGCCTGAAAGTCACAACAAAGAAAACAAGATCGTCAATCATCATCCGGGAGATGATCCCAGAACGAAGCTCCGATGGTCAAGTTAGTGGATTCCTTTGAGAGAAGGTATTGTATAGAGAGTATGAGACTGAGATATTTCGAGTCGATCCCTTCCCTTGAGGGAGTAGGGACATTTTTATACATGCGGTTAGGGGAACAGATCCCCGATAGTATCTTCTACCTTTTAAGGCATGTGAGGACAAGCCGGCCTTTGATTGGTAGTTCGTTTTCCGTGGGTGGCTATTTGTTATTGGTGTGAAACTAGAGCGCTACATATGTCGCCAAGGGGTGATTGGTACTTTTTTGTCTTATTTGGAGCGAGAGTTTCTCTCCTAAAAGGGGGCCAATCCCGAGGTCAGATCGCCGACGCTAGAACGCGGAGTCTAATGGAATATAATTTGCTCCCAGCTCTTGTCAGGTAGTGAGTTTTTGATCGGTCGTTCCTGAGTTGACGGCCCCGTTATCTTTTGATGTTACTCCGGGTGAGATTCGTCAACAAGCAACAAAGGAGAACATCTAATCAGATGAGGTGTGATTTGTGATCAGGGCACAAAGGATATTATTTTCCAACTTACTCCGTCAGCAATATTTTTTTAGGTTATTGGTTAAGAACGTGTCTGTTAAGAAAGTAAAATGTGAAATTTTAACAAATCAAATGGTCTAACTGCTAGTACGATAAACACTAAACAAACAGACCTTAGGTTGATATTAGCTTCAAAATTTCGGTGAGAAAATGGCTTCTATATAATTATTACTTTTTTTTATAAATATCTATATATCTACTGTTTCAACTAGATTTACTGAAAACATTACTAATTGTTTCTATATTATTGAATCATTAATTGTACGAGTTGGCCATGGTAGATTTTATATCTTGTAAATTCCCTTTTGCAGGGTTTATGCTTTAATTATAAACGATTTGGAAGCCTTTATTAAGCTCAATTTTTGAAACGGCTATCAATCGGAACTGAATCCGCTGACGCATGCATCATCCTCTCATCTCTCCCTCTGGTCGCCGGCAAGATCCCTTCCTTCCTCTCAAATTCTAGTTGGATACTTTTCTCTCGTTATTTAGTAAAAAGCATTATTAATCGTTGGAAATTTGTGTATGAACTTAAAATCGTAGCTGAATTTTGTATCAGTGTTGGATTGATTTAGCTATTGTGCAAAACTGTGTGTAATGAGTGCATATTTTTAAATTTTTTTTGGAGTATTTATATGGTTAATTGGAAATATGGATTAGGTTTGTTTTGATCATAGAATTGATTTCACAGGGTTCTGTTTGAAGTTTTGTTATTTTGTGATTTAATTAACTTTGAGTAGAATTTATTCTAATGGAATTTCACAAAATTGATGTAATTTACAATATATTATATTATATTATAGATCAAGCGGCAGCAGGTAGAATGCCTGTTAATTGAGTTTCTGCGTTCATCCCAGAAGAAACCACAGAAACAAGCTAGATATAAAATTGTTTGAAACTGCTCTAATGAAAACAGTTTGTTTATTTAGATAAGAACTAACTTCCTATGAAGTAAGCAAAAAAAATAACACATACTTTGCTTCCTTCCTCTCCCTCTTCCTATTCGGGTCACCTGCATTTGATTACGTCTTAATAGTTATCTCGGATTCCAGCAGCTCCACCCAATCCCATTGTGAATCGAGCTGGTGTGTACGTTAATATCTTGAAATTTATTAAAGCCACAACCATATGTGGTAAATTTTGAATAAGGCACATCGCTAAAGGTAATTTCTCTAAACTTTTCAGTAAAATTTCGGGTAACTTAATTTTTGATTTTATGATTGTCTAGTAATAAATGTAGTATAAAACAATGCCTGCACCCCACCCTCTCGAAACGCGGTTTCCAATTCTAGGGTTTCAATGGCACAGCTGCTGGATGAAATGATTGAACAAATACTGATAAGATCAGAGGTGAGTGATCTGATCCGTTACAGGAGCGTTTCAAAGTCATGGAAAGATGTGATCTCTGATCCTGATTTCATCAAAGCCCATCTCGAAAACAGTTATCGACGTGATCGTGAATATGACAAAATGGGAAACAGAAGAATTGCAATGTCTGCTACACCACAGTGTAATTGGGAACATTTATCTCATGCTGATAACCTCTATTTTGTACCTCGCACGCGTCATCTACTTGGTTCTTCCAATGGTTTAGTATGTGTTTCTCGCTCTCGTAATGAATTTTCAGTTATCAATCCTGAAACCAGAGAGGTGAATAAACTGAAAAAGCCCGAAATCCTTGATCAGGCCGGACCTTTGATTTATGGTTTTGGTTACGATTCATCCAATGATGATTACAAGGTGGTATTAAGGTTTAGAAAAGGCAGTAATCTTACCTGTTTCCTAAAGTTTAGTTTAGAGTCCAACATCTAGGAAGTTATATGAGAAGTCAACTACACTGTTGGAATAGTGTCTAAGGCTATAACTATATTCGGTTGTGCATGGTCCTTTTGGGTTGCCTTCACCATAGCAACTTGAAGGATGATTTGTTAAAAGAGAGTAAATATTATAAGGAATAATATTTGGCTATTTGATTAATATAAGTCATAAATTAATTGGTATTAATTTGGTGACTTAAAGAGATTAATTAAATAAGAGGGTATAAACTGTCAATTGTTTGATAGTTAGACTTTAGACTATAAATCCATTAGGATATACCTTGGACGGATTCTAAGAGCTTTAGGATAGCTCAAATCGTCCATGGGGTTATCTATGGAATGGATTTGGATAGCCTTAAGAGAAGATTATCCAATTAGGGTTTAGGGTGAAACCCTTAAGGAGTCTAATAGTATAAATAGACCCTATGGATGAGGGAGTTCGAGACACAACCTTAAGCAAGGAACCTTTAGCCGAATTCCTCCCCTCTCCTCTCTCCTAAATCATCTTGCTTGCTATTGGTGTTTGTAAGCCATTAGAGGAGTGACAATTGTGACTCTAGAAGCTCCAAGACAAACAAGATCAACAAGGAATTCAAAGGTATGATTCTAGATCTGTTTCAATATTGTTATTTAACCTAATTAGCCATTATAAGTCTTGGATTCAAAAGCATGTTTATTAGAAAGCCTAGATCCAAGCATTAGGGTTTTGCATGCGCACATAGGAAAGTTCTTATGGCTAAAACCCATCAGTGGTATCAGAGCCTAGATTGGTTTTCTTTAAATTGTTGCTTGAATAACTGAAACAAACCTGCAAAATTCGATTTTTTGGGTTTTGAGTCACTGACTCGTTGAGTCCCAAGGTGAACTCGTCGAGTTGGCCTGACTCGGCGAGTCCCCTTGTGCACTCGGCGAGTCCAGGCGTCAGGAATGGCCAAATTTGGTATTTTTTCATAATTATCTTATGGAAACTTACCTTAATCATATTAGATCAATGTAAATCCGATTTTTTGATAAATATGACTATTATCTTGATCTAATTAAAGATATTTATCATCTAATAAAATATTTAATTTCCTTATATGATAATGATTAATTATTTTGGTAATTATCTTCAAAGAAATCAAGATAAATCAAATAAAGATAATTAGAATATTAATTGTTAATTGGAATTATTTGTTATTTGATTCTTCATGTTTTAAATGTTTAAAACCTACCCTAAAGTTTTGAAATTTATATTTGTGATTAAAAGTTTTAATTTAGACAACTTAAATTTCAAACCCTAGATTTTGAAAAAGTTTAAAATGCAACCCTATACTTATATGATATTACTAGAATAATATATATATATGTATAACTAAATGCTAGTCTTACCGCTAGTAGGCCTCATTCACGAAGCCGATCTATAAGGTGGGTATAAGGTTGCGGCCTATAAAATGGCGCTTAATGGGTGTACACTCACACCCACCGCTTGCTTGATTGGTGGAGGGTCGTTAGCCGAACGGGTAGGATAGGGCAACCTCATCCTCTCATTAAAAGTATAATAAGAAATACGAAGTAACTAAACTTTTTTTAAAAATTTCCCAATCTTAGTTACTTTAGGAAAAGTGAATTGATGCAATCCCATGAAATTACACTTTGCACCTTGCTAAGATGTTAGTGGAGCGTGTGTGGTTTACCGGCACACTAATTGGTTCTAAGCGAAGGTGGCAAAGGGTGATTCATTATTCATCATAGTTCGATGGAGCGTGTGTGGTTTACCGGCACATCGAATAGGTGATCGTTACAATGAAGGCACCATGTGAATTTGCATGGTAATTCACACCCGCTTTGTGATCCTCGGCATCCCAGTCACAAACAAGAGGGGCATATCGAGATTTAAACATGCCATTGAATAGTTCAATGAATCTCATCCGAATCTAGGAATTCTCAAAAAACACTTAGGACTAAAAGTTTAAGTTTTGTAATGGAGAATTAGTGAATCGTCATTCACTTACGTTCAATTTATTTGCATATTGGATTACAGCATCCCTTTTCTAGTATGTAAATGTTATTGTTGGATCCTAGCCCTAATTTTTCTTATTGGGTGATAATTAGGGATTCTTATTCTAATCGATCTTTGTCCTTTCTATAGATGTCAAACGCAAACAACGCTGCTGCTAGTTCTTTCACGTTGATGAGCCTTTGCCAAAAGGTCACCTTCGATGGAACGAACTTTGGCAAATGGATAAGATACATTCGCACCATTTCTCGCTATGAGGATAAAGAGTATGTCCTCGATGAGAAGCTCGAGAAAATCAACCCCGAAGTTGCTACTCCCGCCGAAATCACCGCCTTTGAAACTCATGAGCGAGATGAAACGAAAGTACATTGCATCATGATCGCCACCATGAACTCCGAATTCCAAAAGTCCTACGAGGACATGTATCCATACGAGATGCATCAAGACTTGTTGGAGAGGTACCACCAAAACACGAGACAAGAGCGTTACGAGATCTTCACTAACATGATTTCCGCCAAGATGGGTCATGGAGAATCTCTTACCGTGCACTTGCAAAAGATGCAAAGGTATGTCGACCGCCTTCGCAAGTTAAATGTTGACTTCGGCGAAGACTTGGCGATCGACATGGTGCTTCACTCTTTGCCTCCGATGTACAATCAATTTAGGATGACCTACCACATGAACAAAGAGGAGGTCACTCTAAGTAAACTCCAAGGTCTCTTGAGGGTTGCTGAGAGCAATTTCAAGGACAAGTCTGTTGCACCAACTCCCAATCCATCCGCTGCTCCTGTCTTGGCTATTGGTCAAGGGAAGGGAAAGAAGAGGAAAGCTTCTTCAAATAACTATCGAAAGGTGAAAGCCCGAGATGGTTCCTCTTCTAGTGGGACCAAAGTTGATCCCTCTAAGCCCTGCTCTAACCCGAAGGAGGCAGAGTGCCACCACTGCCACAAGATAGGACATTGGAAGAGAAGCTGCCCGGATTACCTGCAAGCCATCAAGGAAGGAAAGATCAAGCCATCTTTCGCAGGTATATATGCAATCAAATCTAACGATTCTAATCATGCTATTTCTTGGGTTCTTGACACCGGTTGTGGTTATCACATTTGTTCTAATGTGCAGGGACTAAGAAGAAGTAGGGATGTGGAGCAAGGAAGGATCAATCTAATCATGGGGAACAGAAGATCGTCGCCTGTGACCAAGATTGGAGTGTATTCTTTAGTGCTTAAGAATAGTTTAGTTTTGATTTGAACAATTGTTGCTATTCGCCAGAAATGGCTAGAAACATCATTTCATTTCATGGTTTATATAGACAAGGATTTAGATTTTCTTTTAATAATGAGAATGGTTCTATTTTGGCTTATCTAAATGGTGTCTTTTACTTTGAAGCTATACCATGTAATGGAATATATGAAACTGTTATGATTGTTGATAACTTAGGAAATGATGTTTTGAATATTGATTCTTCCACTAGTATGGATAAAGCATCCTTGTGGCATTGTCGTCTTGGACATGTCAACAAGAAACGCATAGCCCAACTCCAAAAGGATGGAGTGTTGGAGTCATTCGACCTTAGGGAAGATGACACATGCGAGTCTTGTTTACTTGGAAAGATGACTAAGTCACCCTTCACGAGTACTTGTGAAAGGGGTGAGGGCTATTGACCTAATACATACCGATGTATGTGGACCTTTTAGATCAACCACGAAGGATGGGAACCGCTTCTATGTGACTTTTACCGATGATTATAGTAGATATGGGTATATCTATTTAATCAAGCAAAAGTCAGAAACCTTTGAAAAGTTCAAAGAGTTCAAGAATGAAGTGGAGAATCAATTGGGCAGGAAAATCAAGATGCTTCGATCCGATCGAGGAGGAGAGTACCTAAGTCTTGAATTCCACGATTATCTCAAGGAGTGTGGAATAGTTTCGCAATTGACGCCTCCTAGGACACCGCAGTTGAATGGTGTGGCAGAAAGGCGTAATCGAACCTTATTGGATATGGTTCGCTCTATGATGAGTCGTGCTTCACTACCTATCTTCTTTTGGGGGTATGCCTTAGAGACTGCCGCCCATATCCTTAACCGAGTCCCTACTAAGAAGGTTGCCAAAACACCTCACGAGATGTGGACGGGGAAAGCTCCCTCGTTGGCACATATCAAGGTTTGGGGTTGCGAGGCTTTCGTAAGACGAGATACTCACGACAAGCTTGAACCTCGAAGTGAGCGATGTATTTTCATCGGCTACCCGCAAACTTCCTTTGGATATCTCTTCTATAGACCGAAAGATAATGTTATCTTTGTTGCGAGGAGAGGAGTTTTCCGAGAGCGAGAACTCATAAGCCAAGGAGACAGTGGGAGGCAAATCGAACTTGAAGAGATTCAAGAGTCGATAGATGAAGGAACCTCTACCGCTGGCATTCAACCCGAGGAGGAAACTCCGGTTGAACCGATTGACGAATCCTTACCTCTTAGACGTTCCGATAGAGTTAGAGTTCAACCCCAGTTTTATGGTTTTCATATTACTACCGAAGGGGACACGTATATTAGTGATGGTACACTAGTAAATCTTGATGAACCTAATAGCTATAAGGAAGCCATGGCAGGCCCGGAGTCTGCGAAATGGAAAGAGGCGATGGATAGCGAGATCCAATCCATGTACGATAACCAAGTTTGGAATTTGGTTGATTATGCCCGAACGTAAGACCGTAGGGTGCAAGTGGATCTTCAAGAAGAAGACCGACGTGGATGGGAACGTACACACATATAAAGCGCGATTGGTCGAAGGGCTTTACTCAAACTCCCGGAGTTGACTATGATGAGACCTTCTCACCAGTTGCGAAGATTAAATCTATTAGAGTGATGCTAGCAATTGCCGCATTTCATGATTATGAGATTTGGCAAATGGATGTCAAGACCGCTTTCCTTAACGGAAAGTTGGCTGAGGATGTTTACATGGCTCAGCCAGAGGGGTTTGTGGATCCGAAGCATCCGAATAGA